CCACGCCCACATGCTGGAGCCTGACCCCTCCCACAGCCTCATGCCACGCCCACATGCTGGAGCCTGACCCCTCCCACAGTTCAATGACACACCCACTTGTCAGTGTCTGACCCCTCCCACAACCATTTGAAACACCCACATGACAAACCCTGACTCCTCCCCCCCACACACCCGATTCTGACTCCTCCCACAGTTTAATGACACACCCACCTGTCCGTGTCTCACTCCTCCATCAGCCCTCGGACACGCCCATGTGCTGGAGCCAGACCCCTCCCGCCGTAGCTCCAACAGACTCCCATGATCCCTTGTCCAGAAGCTGAGCGGTCTCCCTGGCTGCGCCCCACCCTCTCTGTCTCCCCCTCAGATGTCCGTGCTGGTGAGCCTGCGCTACCTGCAGACGGCCATGGAGGGCATGGTGGGCAAGGAGAACACGGAGTGCGACACCGAGGGGTACCTGCTGGAGAAGGGGGTGAAGGAGACCCTGAAGGGCTTCATGGACGCCTTCCTCAAACTCTTCCAGACCAACCAGGTCACCATGGACCCGGAGGGGGGCGCGCCCAATGAGGGGGCGCCCAAGGAGGGCGAGAAGCCGGCCACCTCTGGAAAATAAACAAACCCAGGCAGAGCTGTGACCCCTGACCCCTGAACTGCCACCCCCCCAGTCTCCTTTCCGCCCCAGCACCACCCCCTTGCCCCTGCCCCCCAGCCCCCACCACTTGACTGGGCATCTCTCCCCCTGGCACACAATGACCTGCCTAACCCAGACCCCACACCCTGACCTCTGACCCCCTGCTTCTTAACTGGCCATGACCTCCCTGATCTCTGACCTCTCAGTTTTGCCCTCTGGACTTTTGATCGAAAGGCAATATTAATCTCCTGACTCCTCGCCCTTCACCTTTGACCTCCTTGATTCTTAACTGGACCATGCGTCAGCCTGACCTTTCACCTTTGACCTCCCGAAGGTGAATGTCGACCTCTTAGACTAGGGAAAGCAGCCTGTCTCGTAGGGCCTGGGTGTCCGGACGCCCTGAGTGTCCAGCCCTGAGGCGTCAGCGATCCGGCCAGTGTCCTGCGGGGGGTGTCTGCCCGCGCACTGCCTGCTGTAGGAGCTGTTGTGTGTCTCTCTCCCAGCGGTTATCTGACTGTAACCCCACCACGGCGAGAGAACATTAAAGTTTAACGTTTTTAACTGCTTTGTAGTGTCTTGTCATTCTGTCGTCTTCTGTGTCTCTGGTCTTCTCCCCCCTCTCTCACTCCTCTCTCTCTGCTCCTGCTCCTCTCTCCTCTCTCTGCTCCTCTCTCTCTGGGCCTGCTGAAGCCTGGCTCCAGTGGTCCTGGTTCTGTCTGGGGCCCAGCGGGCCACAGTGCAGTGGTGTCACAGGTGAGCCCTCGCTGTCCTCGGCCCCAGCCTGCTGCCCCGATCCGCTGCTGCAAGAGGGACAGGAGGGACAGGAGTGGACAGGAGAGGGCAAGAGGGGCAGGAGGGGCAGGAGGGACAGGAGGTACAGGAGAGGACAGTAGGGACAGGAGAGGACAGGAGGTACAGGAGAAGACAGGAGAGAACAGGAGAGGACAGGAGGCTGAGTCACAGGAGGGACAGGAGAGGACAGTAGTGACAGGAGGGGCAGGAGGGACAGGAGGAGACAGGAGGGGCAGAAGGGACAGGAGTCCCAGGAGAGGAGATAGTGTCAGCTCGACTTGACTGGATTAGCTTTGTTGATTAATCTCACCCGCTCAGCAGCTGCAGCACTCCTCTAATCCCCTAATTAGTTTGACTGCAGTAACGAGAATACTGCAGCGCAGGTCTGTGTGTGAGTGTGTGTATCTCCAGGTATAAGTGTGTGTGTCCAGCCGGTGCAGTGGCTCTGTGGCTGGGGGGTTGCTGGTTCAAATCCTGCGGCCGGTAGGGGAATCCTACTCCGCTGGGCCCCTGAGCAAGGCCCTTAACCCCAGCTGCTCCAGGGGTGCTGTATAAATGGCTGACCCTGCGCTCTGCCCCCCAGCTTCTCTCCTTCCCTCCCTCTGTGTGTCTCATGGGGAGCAAGCTGGGGTCTGTGAATAGATGAATTCCTACTACTAGAGATTGTATAGGGCCAATAAAGAGATGTGTTCTTAAATATGTGTGTGTGTGTACATACGCGTGCTTCAGCTCTGCAGTGGGTGACGCTCATCATGTAAAATCCACAGGGCTGTTCTCCGCAGTGTCGCCAGAGGGCGCCCCAGAGCACCCATCGCCTCTTCGGCACGTCAGTCGCCTCCGGGACGCTGTTTCTCCCTGTTCTTGAGTTTTAAACACCCTCAGGTTTCATTTCAGCGAGCTCCCCCCCCACCCCACCCCACCCCCCGCCGCCCGGGCAGGGCCACTCCCGGCGTCCCCCGCGCGGCACGCGGCCGGCTGTGTGGCAATTTCCTTCCCCCACCCCCCCCGCGCTGGAGCCGCGCAATATTATCATCAATAACAATAAACATGTGGGCTCTCGCCCTGCCCGGAAACACAGTCCAGCCACACTGCGCCCTGTGCGCCCGAGGTCCCGCGCCTGGCGCCCGGGTTCGAGTCCGGCCCCGCAGCGTGCGGCACAGCTGCTGGCCCGCGGGGCGCGGAAGGGACGTCCTGTTTCGGCTTTCCCTGGCCTGCTCCTGCTCCTGCTCCTGCTGCTGCTGCTGCTCTACCCCGGGGCCCGAGACGGCAGCGGCCGGCAGGGGGAGCGCCTGAGCCGCCGGCGTGACGTCACGCCCCGGTTCCTGCGCTGGTGACCTTTAAGTGCGGCGCGCGGAGGGGGGGGGCCGAGCGTCTCAGCGCGCGGCTCGTTAATTAACACGGCTAATTGAGCGGGCGGAGCGGCTCGGCGGGCGGCCATGGAGGGGTATTTCTCCGAGAGCCTGGAGGAGTTCCTGTCCGGCGCGCTCGTCACCTGGGTGAGTCGGTTTGTCTTCGCCGGGGCTGCGATCTGTAGGTCTGTAATCTGCGAAAGGAGCGACTTCCCACCCGAGCCACAGCGCCGCGGCTCCCCGGAACAGCGCCGAGCCCGAACTTCTGCTTTTCCGTCGCCACCTGCTCCGAGCGCCGCCGCCGCCCCGGGTCCGAGCCGTGCTCGTGGGCGCTGTGCCCCGCGTGGAAGCGCTGCACACGCGAGCCTCTCCACGGACAGCCCCGCGCGGCGCCGCCTTCTCTCTTGCGCGCCGTGGGCTGTGCCGGAGAGCGAGAGCAGAGCTGTCACCCGCTGTGGATCGCTCCCCACTCCACTGGAGAGCTGTCACTCCCCACTCCACTAGAGAGCTGTCCCCACTGGGGATCGCTCCCCACTCCACTGGAGAGCTGTCCCCACTGGGGATCATTCCTGCTCCACTGGAGAGCTGTCCCCACTGGGGATCATTCCTGCTCCACTGGAGAGCTGTGGAATTAGGGAATTCGGTCTCTTTGGAGGTTCAGACTGACCCATGAAAACTGTCTTTGTGTCTGACTGCCTGTGTCCCTGTCTGTCTCTCCATGTGCCTGACCTGCCCATCTGTGTCTCTGCCTGTGTCCCTGTCTGTCTCTCCATGTGCCTGACCTGCC